AACGTGAATGCCACACAAAAGTTTGCGGACTCCCCAAATGTTTGCTTTAGCATTTCATAGGTTTCCTTAGCCGTTTTGGCGAGTCTTTGGCAAAATTTGATGCACACGCCATTCCTGAAATCGCAGGAGGGTCGGTGTAATGCACTACCAAAACGCCCGTAACTAAGAAACAAATGCTAATTCGATGATGCCGGCTGGCACACTGATTCACTATGAATGTAGGCCGCACCCCCTAAAGGCAGAAGCTCGTAATACATCCGGTTCGCCCTCTATTGACAGTCTGTAAACTTTCCGATCGCACCTCGTATAAGCTAAAATTCCTGGAATAGAGTTAATAATAAATGCAATTGCAGGTAATAACAGCAGGGAATAAACCTTGTAAATTTCCCACTGCTCAAGTAAAAATCCCATTAAAGAAACAAGTGAACGCGGAAAGACAAACAAACAAATGATTATTTAAGCGAGCAAAGTAAAGCCGGTTAATGTAAATGCAAATAAGTGTGTATTCTTTTGTTTCCTTGTTTTTCACAGCTGAAAATGTGTACACGGAAAAGAAAAAAAATCATGCAAATTCTCTTCTCGGAAGTCTGGTCAACTTCGTATATCAGCGTGAAACAACTGTTAATCAGTAGGCAAGTCCATACTTGCTTGCGTAACTGCTTATTTTGGGCGCAGTTTGTAAAACTCGATTTTCCACATCACTCTTTCTACCCAGAAAATGTCAAGTAAAATACACCCACGTCTACATTTACGAACATATTTCGTTCGATGGAAACTGTCCGCGAGTTAAAAATTCGTGAACATAAAATAAAACTGTAATTAATTACAATGTAAAAAATTCGTACTGTTATCAGACCCCCATCTATTTTAACCAGCAAAGCACGGCTAAAACGTATAAAATCGAACGATTGTGCTCTACAACAATTGGTGCATTTTCAGTAGAATTAATTTCAGAACTTCCGCGAATAAAGAATGAACGGCCAATTGTATTCCTCCGCGTTCCTTAACTTACGAATTTGACGCTCGGCCCACGGACGAGGGTTGGTTCTTCCATGTAGCGAAAATAATGCTCGCAAATTGAAAAAAAAGTTTTAAAATGTTCATGGTTCTTTGTAGCGGAAGTTTGTAAATAGGAAATTCCAAAATCGTATGTTTAATTAAACATGAGAATAAGAACAGTTTCAAAATCAAGTTATAATATGTAGGATTTGAGGTTAGGGTAGGTTGTGTGGACAAAAAAAAAAGAGACAGTCTTCTGAGTTTTCAAACTGAAGAGCATTTTCACTGTGACAACATTTCAGAGGAACATTGTGCCTCCATCTTCGGGGCTTCATCCACTATTTATGAAACCGCAATACAACTAATTTTAAAATGTATGAGAATCAAATAAGAACGCTTGCCTGTGTGACAACAATACTAAGAAACATTTTCGTAACGAAATTTGAAAAAAAAAATTTTTTGAACATTTAGTTATTGTTCATTTAACTGTGTTCATTAGAACGAAGACCAGTTTCTGCCAACAATAATTTTGTCACTTGCTTTGTATGGTCGTGAAACGTGGTCTCTTGCTCAAAAAGAAAAATAACTGTATGAAAACTCTTCAAGAACCTGAGAATTATGACGTCAACGGTTTAAGGATCTCGTGTAATGAGGAACTAAGCGATTAAAACAGACTTATTGCTCTGAGCGCCGTGAATTCTGGGAGGCTACTGTGGGGGTTACGATGGTTGAGACACGGAATGGATACGGCAGTTGTTGTAACCTGCTGCTGATCATGCGCAGTGACGTTTCTAGTAGACAACCGTGGTTTTTCGTACTGAAAGTGGCGGCTGAGCCGACCTGCTGTGTGAGTAACCAATCAACGCAAAGCATGCGTACTCATGAACTTCAGTGGGCACAGACAATTAAGAAACAACGCAAAAAATCCATTTTCTGATGAAGGAGAAAGGGGTTCATTTGAACGGACAAGCTCCCTGATTTTTTTACAGGGTTTACGAGTAGGCCTATTTGATTCTTTTCATGCAAACACGTTCAACGAAACAGTTTTTAAATTCGCTGAAAAGCAACGTTAAACAATTCTACGTTTCCATGCTCCAACCCCCCTCCCCATGTGATTGGTCCAATCGTCAGCGACCAATTCTGGTGAAAAAGTCATACGAGATTTGAACATACGAGTCTGATGGTCCAGTATCCTGGCATGTAATTGGATTGTCATAATACATTTCCATGGGATTACTAGATTCTAATTCTACAAAGAAAGTTAGTAATACTGCCAATATTAGGAGAATTTACACAAAATTGTAGCCGGAAAACCTTAACAGAACGGTACAGGGTACAATATTAAAACGGACCTTATTCAAGTGAGGTCAGGATCCCGTGATGGACGTCTCTCAAGCTTACAGTAGAATTCTTATCCATACAGGGAAAATAACTCGATATTTAGCCCGCAACTAATTAATATGTTGACTGAATTCCTGTTTAAAAAAACACGCTAATCCCTGTGAAATCAACAAGGCCTGCATTAAGTTACGTAATAAATATAAGGGGACTAGTTTTAAGCGGTACTTCTTAAATATAGTCTGCTACGTTTATCGGCTCAAGTTAGTGTACTGTGTGTCTTGTTGACTGGTATATTATTCATATTTTATGGACCACAATAAAAGAAGCTTTCCCACTGCACGCTCGAATAAATATTTGTAGTCGGTGAGAATCTGTGCGTTTTGTACACGTCACTAGCTTGCGGGTAGAAGAATAACGCATATATTACGTAATCCAAAAACATTACCTACGTAGGAAATGAGACAGCGAGCTACGAATACTGCCACTGGGAAACAATATTTATGATACGGACAGTATATGCGTCCTTACCTCCTACCCCTCCAAGCCCTCGGATCACCCTGGCTCTCACTTCTAACGGCTCTAGAGCGCACAGATTCGCCCCGCGTAGTACTAATTTAATTGCTCAAAATTGCACATTTGGGGATTGTCTGATAATTAGATGCTCTGGAAGTGACAAGAGACTGGAGAAAATTACGTAACGAGGAGTTTCATAATCTGTATTCATCGCCAAATATTATTATTTTAAACAAATAGGTTTTGAGACGAGGGGGGCATGTAACACGTACGAGATAAGAAACGCACAAATAGATTTAGTCTGATATCGGAAGGGAGATATTACTCGTGGAAACCTAGGCGTAGATAGGAGGATAATATTAAAATGCATCTTGGAGAAATCGGACTAGATTCATCTGGCTCTGGATAGTGACTGGTGATTGCTTAATGAACCTTCAGGTTCTATTAAAGGTGGGGGATTTCTTGGTCAGCTGAGAGACTGTCAGGTTTCTCAAGGACTTCCCTTTTGGTATTACCCAGCCCGGCCTGTAAATAATGAATGTATTGTTTCTAGTTTCTTTTTTACTGGACTTTCTTTCAAAGCGACTGACGTTCGTACTTCGGCTTTGCTCACGTTTATCGTAGTAGGTCACGACGAGGGTGCAAGGTGAACGACCTCTTGTCATGGGTCCAATTTGTTAACTGAGAACGTATCTACGGTTCTGAGCCGCAATTAAACATGTGCTTTTGTACGTCTGTAGACTGAATAAAAATTCTGCCTCTTGGCGTCAGCGTGCTGTATACTTCCTGCTCCGATGAAATTGCATTTTAACGCATTTAACTAGTTTCTAACCCATTTTCATCATTCTACAAAAATAAGTATAAGATAATGTTCGTATCTGTACGTCCCTGATAATATAATTAACTTATTTACATCAAAACATAATATAAACATCACGAAGTTAGAGGTTATTCATTAAATTCTTGTAATTTATAATATCTTACTATCGATCTATCGATAGCGAATATTACCACCGACATTCCATCCGTCCGTCCTTCTAACATGGGGCGTGACGTTGTAACAGGTCTTCAAAACGTATGATTTTCTGTCAAAACACTTCTTTTTCAGAATACAAAACGTCATTGCAGCCGCGATAAATCTGTTTGCAGAATAAACATACCTACGTATCCTACACGTGTTATTTTCTTTGTCGTTAACATGGCGCCTGTGCGTAATTCTGAAGGTATACTGTGCAGATTCAAAATAATGAGAATCTGCACTACTAGAGGAAATTTTATACAGATGACATGTTCTTTTGAATACGGTTCACTGAATTCCACATCGTCGTCTATTTAGGGCTCGGTGTATGAAACATCTGCGCTGGTGGCGGGCGAGAATTAAAGCAGATACCGTGGTGCAAACTGCAGTGAAATGTTGGCTGAAAGAACGGGACACTGCAGATGGCTGTCTTCTGGGTTGTTGCGCCGTGTAGTCTGGTAGATCTTTACCGAAGTTTCTGAGGTCTTTGCTGTCAGGGCGCCCTGATGATGGAGACAGCAAGTACCTCTGAAACGTCGCTAAAGCCCTGATGATGGAGACAGAAAGGACCTCTGAAACGTCGGCAAACTTCTGCCAGACTACACAGCGCAACAACCCAGAGGACAGCCATCTTCAGCAGGTAGAAAACCTCCCAAAGGCCTGACGATTGTGACGTCCCCCATGGGGAGACTACCCACTGGTGTGCAGAAAAATACAGTGAACTCTTCTCGGGGGATCAGCTTTATAAGTATGGAGTTTCAGTCGTTTCGGATACAGTCTCTGCCTCCATTATCAGGATGAATTGCAGAAAGAGTCGTACAATTCCACTGCAGTCTCACATATAAGATCGAGCGAGTAATTTTAAAATATTTGCCTTCCAGAATTTTCTGACAACCCTGATGTGTACTGATAAAGTTGAGTGTTTTTTAAAGGAAAAGGAGAATGTTCGTAATTGTTACCCTTCAGCAAATTGTACCAGGGTAATCAAATTAAGGAGGATGAGGAATATCCCAATTGAAGAGAATTATTAAGATGGGGTTCAGAACCATGTAAACTGGGGAATTTCATGACTGGCTGTCAGATTGCCAGCTTCAGAACACAAGGACGTGGTTAATGTGGAGAGACTCACTTGCCACTGTTCACGCCGTCCTTGAGGTTAGAACCATCCTGAGGCAGGAAAACGTCCAACTCAGTAGTGTCCCGCGTTGAATTCTGGGCCTGCAACAAGATAAAGCAGTTCGCGTGTCAGTTTGTAAAATGCAGGTACGTGAAAGAAACCACTGATAACGTGAAAAGGCTGAAGGGATAGAGGAGTGGAGGAAAACACGTAGCGTTGGCACAACTTCATGTCCTTCAGAGAATATCATGCACTTTTAGAGGTCATAAAGGCGAACAGTACGTGCAGAAATTAAGAATGCCTATCTGTCAAACAATTATGCTTGCATGTATGCACAGACGACTGTCGTAAGTCAATCTGACAATCCATCCGATGAAACACGTGATTTCGACGACATTTAGATGGAAACGTTGTAAAATAATAAATTTGGTGAGATATCCGGTCCTCGTGGTGATAGGTAGCACCGTATAGTCTGGTAGATATTTATAGAACTTACGCCCCAGTCACCATGATGACCAATGCATAACTCCTCTGAAACGTCGGCCAGAATCTACCAGGCTGCGTGGTGCATGCCTCTGAATCAAATATCATCTTCAAGAAATCTGGTGTCATCGGCGAAGTAAGTCTGGAAACTTGTTTATTCTTCCTTGGGCTTGAGTAGGTGCTGGTTTTTGTTTGTGGTAAGTGAACTAATTTGTGTGGTATAATTAAGTTAATAAATACACCATGCTGTACCAATATAAGCCGAGGGTTAGACGATGGAACCTCTTCAATTCGTACGACCAAAAGAGCCCCGGAGACTAGTCCCTGATGCTGATGATGATGTTGAGCCGGAGAAAAAGTACGCACAATTCAAATTATAGCATTAAATTTGAGAAAAATATGTTAATAATTCATCAACACTGACAACTTATATAACTATTTTCTTATCCTTGTTATGTAACGTCACTTCAGATTGAATAAGGCGAGGTCGAAGAGAGACCACAACTGAAAATGTTGAGCGCGGTTCGAAAGGCTGTCTCTGGGCAGAGACCACAAAAAAGGTGTTGTTGTAAAGAAACAGAACAAAATACTGCATTAAAAGTGACATTTTTCCATTATGGTCTGTTCCAGTAGTAGGATAAGAATTTACGTAAACACTTGAACATTCTTCTCGATGTTCTTGTGGTCAGATAAATTAGCAAATTCAAAACATTTTAAACATTACGTGTTGCTGCTGGTGTACCAAAGCCCCATTAAATATAGTTTCATCCTCAATTTAATTTTCTCTTTTCCAGTAGATTTTGGACGAATATTTTCACAGATAATTTCTTGAATGTCGAGAATGTAACCCCAAAATGGGAAGTTTCTACAGAGCGTAGAATTTTTCTATTCCTTCAAAAGTTATTTGCTTTCTTCTGCAATATTTGAAAATGTGGGATAGGCCCTTCTTCTACCAGGCCCTTAGATTATTCTTCACGATTAACAGAAACCCCACCAAAAGTGGAAAAATATACAGGCTTTAAGACCACACGAGTTTGTGAGTATGAAGATGGCTGTCTTCTGGGACATTGGGTTATGCAGTCTGTCAGAAGTTTACGGATGTTTCAGAGGTGCTTTAATTAGCTGTATGATGAAGTTTTTATCGAGTACGTCTGTATCAACCGCTACGCAATTGGGACACGCGGATGGAAAAGCCGATATGTGGCGAAGTGGAACGCAATTCTTTGAGAACCCTCGTAGAAGGATTCAAAAGAACCAGATCGACATTCATTTGTTCACTGACTTTGCAGGAGTAAACAAGTTAAAACACAATGGACAGTGGACAGAAATCAAAAGGAAAATGGCCGATAATGACTTAGGAAAGTGGATGAACGAGACAATGAATAGAAGAAAACAGCAAAAGAAAATGATATGGATGTTTAGAGAAACAACGAGAGGGCAAGTAAAGAAATGGATATAAAGAAATAAAGCAGATGACAGGTAAAAAAAAAGGAAGTCAAGTTAAATCGACATCTGTTTTCAAAGCAAACTGGACAGAGATTTAATGAGTCAGTTAATCCCACTAAACGTGGAGGTTAAGCACATTGTTTACTGGTCTGCGACTGACCAGCTGTCCGTGACGTGTAGCCTCTGTGAATCATTTGGTAAATATTACGTCTTTGTTTATGTGTCAAGACACCCAATCAGTTCGTTTAAACAATAGAACAGAACTTAAACCTCAATATCGGCAGTGACCACTTCAGGGACCCACATTCTGACAAGGCAGCAGTTACGTAAATCACCACTGGCGATGGAGGTAAGTATCTCCGAAACGTCGGTAAACGTATAGGAGAATACACGGCGCAACAAACCATAAGACATACATTTTCATTCTGTTCAGCCTTTGTACGACAGGCTTTATAAAATACAGAAAACTTTTTGAAAAATATATCACCATATCTACTGATAATTCCGTACCACAATCCAAACTTAAGCCATTGGACTCCTCTAATCATCTGGTCCAAATTGACATTATCCGTGAATATCCAAATTAAATTCAAGTCGGTTCCGTTCAATATAATTGGACTGAGAGGGGGGGGGGGATCTCGAGTTCAAATTCTGCTCAGGGGACAGAAGGAGACGTGTATTTCCGTCTCCTTGTGCTCAGGACTTGCCCCCAGCCCAAGAAATCCTGTGAAATCATAAAGGGTCAGTCATTTCAAAAGTTAATTTTATCCGTGTCTGCTGACGTATAATCGTTAAGGCCAGAATAAAGTGCAGTAGCACTCGAATACTGCTGAGTCACGTACTCCGTCTTACGGGTACAAGGTGTAATCGCTCCGTGTGACCTTTATTCAGTTCACAGCGATCAATAAATTTCCCCCCCCCCAACCAGATGTTATATTAAGCTGAACTCCCATCATATGACGGCATTACGGATAAATAAATGCTCCAAAATAACAGTGCTATAGTCGGCGCAGTGGTTTTTGGTCGGTGGAGCTGGCGGACGGGCCTACTCTGTGTACCCGAGGTGGCACGGTCTGTGTATTTCTTTTGTTTGGGCGTTCAGTCACACAAGCTCCTTGGCGCAGTCAGCATTATACTACCGCATAAGAGACTCGCTCCTAGCCTTTCCCTTGAAAATTCCACCGGCCAAAAATTACTGCGCCGACTAAAGTAAGTAATGTAAATGGGCTTCATACGTAGAGAATAGAATTCGTTATAGTAAAATCCAGGTTGCAATGGCGTTGTTAAGGTTAGGTTCTGATTGGAGTACAGAGAATAACAAGAGACATGGTTATACATACAAAGCGCAGTGCGAGAAAAATTCTACCTTCCTCCAACACTGTAAACCGTTCTTAAGCTACTGGTATTATAAAAATGTTAGCATTTCTGCGTTTTTTTCATAAATAACACGACAATGGGACGATCGTCCAAAATAAGATGGCTGTCTTCTGGGTTGTTGCGCCGGCGCTAAAACCCAGAGGACAGCAGTCTTCAAACTCACCGCCGTGAAAACATCAAATCTTACTTAATTTCTGTTTCGGTCCTTTTGAAATAAAATCGGGGTCCCCAAGGAAAAGCCTCAAGGACAACGAGAAAGGATTTATAACCCTGAGGGATCGAGGTAAGGGTGAAGGGTATAATAATAAGGAAATGAACGAAGTTTAATGAGAAAAAGCGATAGCTGGTCTGCAGGCCGTTGCTTATCTGGTGATCTCAACTATTATCCGTCCTGAAAATATTTCGCACTAGTTGCATGTACACTGCGGACCCCGAGCTCTATAACACGGACAGAATTTGCAATTCGTGAATTAATATTCGCCTGACAAATACTAAATAAAATGAGTATCTAGACTTCGCGAAGCGAAACAAGGGCGAAATCGATTAATACGTCTACAGTAGACGCACTTCCTTGGCTTTACCGCCATCCGCATTCCTTCTGGGACTGAACACAACGCATTCAAATGGCACTACTCGCGAACACGTGGCCGGAGTGGCAACTAACCTAATGACCTATATCCGTGTGGTAGGAACAGGACGATAAAAATAAATGCCGAGAGGAAATGGCGAGGAAGGAAGTCGATGATGTGTTTCTGGGTTGTGACGCCGTGCGAACTCGCAGGTAGATGACGTTACGTAGAAACATACTGTCTACATCTTCGGTGTTGTACGTTTCTCCGAAACGTTGGTATCTACATAAAAGTCCACGTCTTTCGTACTTGAAAGAAGTCCCTAGATGTCCTGGGTTCGACGTTGAACTAAAACCACGAAGAAGACGGGGCATGTATGCAGTGCAAGATGGCGTTAAGAAACAAAGAGTCCATTGGGTAGAATTTCTGCAAAGAACGGACTATACAAGAATATCAATGCAAACTTTACATTACATACGAAGTAGAAGAAGACATATTGACCGTCCAAGAAATAGATGACGAGCTGGAGCCTTGCCTGGAAGATTTTCTACGACATGAAGTGATGATGATATTGTCGGAATCAAGGCTTTGGCTTGAAAGTTGAGATTTTCACAGCGGTGAGAATTATGCGGATTATGGTCTTCTGGGATGTGACTCCGTGTAGTCCTGAAGGTGGTTATTGACGTTTCGGAATAGCGTATTGCCTCCATTTTCATTTCTACCCTGAAGACCACGATCCACAGGGGCATGCTTTCTTAATCTGTGAACGGACACTATCAAATTCTCATCGACGATAAGTTGAATGATTCTATTCAATGCTATTTTTAGAACGAACGAAGTCCACGAGCAGAATCTTCATCACAAATTCCAAGGTCACAGATGTGTTAATACTTTCGTTCAATCAACTGTTGCTGTTTATCTGTCAATCTAGACAGTGATATTTAAGCTAATGGGCAGAATATAGTTTTAAGAGAAAATTACAACCTGAAGAGCTTCATAATTTAAACTCTTCACCAAGTATTAAGTCGATACTTTGGTAAAACGAAGGATGGGTGTGGATGACAAATGCATACAAATTTTTAATCTAAAATCCTGAAAATAAAAGCCCTCTTGTACGATAAAAGTACGTATAGGAGATAATATTAAAATTAGCATTAAATAAATAAGATGGAAGAATATTAAAATGGATCTGTAAGAAAGGATTCGCAGTTTAGTTGTAAATTGGATTCAAGTGGTACAGGATGCGGCCCAGTGATATCTTGTCAACACAGTAATGGAACCTTCGACTCGTCGTATCTAACTAGCAAAGCGAGGGGAAGTCTTCCGCGGTCCCCGCAGTACAGGATGTCAGGAACACGCACAATCAACAAGAGGAAGAAACACTAATTGCACGATCAGAATGTTAATATCAGCAAACCCGAGTCATTCCCGGAAGAATTGCTGTGGGCGATGTTTGTACATCGCGGTGTAGGTCGCGCGTTCTTTCGTGGGTACGTCTTGCGCAGGCGCACGGAGTATCAAATCCCACAGTGACCGTACGGCTTTCCTGCAGAGACGGAGTCGAAGGTTCGTACCGAATGACGTTCTACAGAACTGCTGTGTCATGCTTGCCTCGGGAGTGCAAGAATAGACTTGTTTTTAGCTACTCTTTACCGAAACCAGGTACTTCGGCCTTGGGACGCTTATCTAGCTGTTATTTGAAATTATCGCTTGGGCTTTGGAAAATTTGTACCGCATTTCGCTACACAATATTAATAGGCAAATAAATGTTCAGAAATAACTACTTGTGTATACCTTCTCGTGAATGGTGTCATAAATCAATATTTCAAACTGAGAATGGTTCGTCGTATTAGAACTCTGTGTGAAGGCCACGCCGTTTTGATAAACCGGGCTCCTCCTTTTAAAATTAATTCTTCTGGGAATAGACGCAAACTCTGGAGTGGGTCAGAATTAACCCTATTCAATGCATGATTCAGAAATTTCGACATTTTTTAAAAAAAAAACATGTGAGCTATAAAGATAATGACGCGTGTTTCATGTAACAATATAACTGATTAATAACTGTGCCATTTGAGATTTTGTGTGGTGGGAGCTTACAACAAGGCCATGGAGCATATCTTTGAGGTTATGTTTACACATTCTTGGATATTGCGCGTAAAACTCGTTCACTTGTCTACATTCATTTCAAACAGTACGTTAGGGGAATTGTATGCGTGACAAACGAAAAACGGACATCCTTATTAGTCGCACAACCTTTTGTGTTGAGACATACGCCCTTATTACATTGCAGCTGCACCTAAAGAGAAGAAACGACAAATGTCGGAATAATGTTACTAAAAATGTTTTCGTCCGCAGTTTCGTAGGATTGATTCAGTGAAATGACTTTTGTCTTGTCAGGATTCCATCAGTCCAAATAATTCGTCGTAGTCCATAATACCTCGAGGTAGGTTTGTTACCTGCCATGATTTTACAATTCTCAAAAGAACATTAATTTATTGTAACAATGTCATTGCCGGTTCACACCAACAATGACCATGATTTTAAATGTCGTAGTAGTGTGTTCCAACAATGACCCCGGGCCATGTGGATTCCCTAGTTTCTAGAACAAGAAAAAAAAAACCGTCCAACAGCCATGGACGGGAAGATACGGAATTCTTCGCCCACGCCACATAACAAAAACATTGCAATTAAAACAATGACATTTTCCTTCCCCATTAACTTATCCATTTCCAAGAGCCTTTAAAAAAATGTTTTCCTCTAGGACCGTCGTTAAAATTATCTTAGGGATTTTCTCTGATTCGTTCCACGTGCCTGTAATTGTTTTTATAATCTCATTATTCTGTAATTACTCTCTAAAATCTTAACAATTTCCTTTGCTACCGACTTCAGACTCTGTCATCAGATTCTAACGTTTGTTCGTGTTGCCGTAATTGTTGCTTCGTCATTTGCAAACAACAGACATTCAGATTTCACAACAAAATGGGTGCCCCCCAGCCTTTGATTCTCCGTTATCTTCCTGATCCATCGGTTTCAACAGCTGCAGTGATTGTTGCATTCATTTTAACCGAGTCACAACGTCAAAAGCTTCTTCATGACCTAGAACAGAGCACGTCTTTCGATTCTCTAGTCCGGTGTTCCCGCGGCCTTTTTCACCCGTGGCGAAACAAAACGTGGCCCTTTGAGACTGTGGACACGTGAAAACAAATCGATGATGAGCCGATAAGGACAGAAGCATGATTATTAGAGCCATCTGAGTATGAAGAAATTAATGGTTTGGGGAAAATAATAGGGCTGAATTTATGTATTATATATTATTTAAATTATTGTTACTATTATTGTCATAAACAAAAGACTATCGCATATTCGATATTGTGGAGCTGTGGTATCGACTTTATCAAATTATTATTTGGTGTTAGGGTCATTGTTATTTAAAGTATTGTTGATGTTTTGTGTAGTCATTAAATTTTCTAAGTGCCTTATTTTTGCTGATGTCAAAAAAGTTACAGGCAATAAAATTCCCTCTTTTTTTTACTTCAAATGGACGCTGACTCCATTTGTGGCTGGTGTACATGGAGCTCAATGTTAGTCAAATCAGAGCCATCTTTTATCAGGAAAACGAATGTGACTGTTTTCCATTATAAACTTCCAGGCTTTCGTATTAAAAGTGCGCGTATTATCAGGATCTAGGAGTTTTATTTGTTCAAAACTTTTAATTCCATCAACATGTGGATATCGAGGGCATCATGTCGGAAGAGAGAATATACAAAATTACTATTTTTTTCAAAAGACTAATTTCTTACGCTTATTTGGTTTGGCAAACGTGCGTTATTACTGTTCACAGTCGAAATGTAATTGTCTGTATCATACGCCTTTCTGTCAATATATACGTCTAATAGTTTTTCATTGTTAGACCAAATATCCGATTATGCAAATGTTGATGCCCTCGATATATATTTTGGTGATATACTTTACGTTTTACATTAGTTAGATCCAGAATTGAATATGCTTCTGTTGCACGGAGTACTTTAATTTCTACTGACGCCAGAGACTTTTATCGCAATCGAAAAGTTCGTAGTTGTCTGTCTGAATGCTTTAAAGCAGGATGGTCCAAATTTTTCGTCGCTCGGGCCAGAAAAGTTTTCCTCTCGGATCCAAGGGCCAAGAAACCCCTACTGTCACAAATTTTGCATTGTCGTTATCTTTAATAACACTTATTCAGAAATGACAAATTACCATTGCATATGGTGAAATATAAATTTTATTTAAATGTGAACAAACTACTATAAAGTTTTATATTTTTTAAATTAGAACAGAAACAATTATTTTAAAAAAAAGTAACTTCACAATAGTCCCCCAGTCTTAAAATACTAGAACCTACAGGGATCGTGGCTTCGAACCCCGTTTGGGGTGTAGATTTATGTTAATGTTTTTCTTCTGTACGGACAGGCCCTGTTATGGGCCAATCGTCTTGTCCATGGAGTCTCTTTTAATTTCCGAGAGATTCACTTTTTCATAATTAATTTTGAATGGAATAAGGCTAGGACTATTATGTTAAAACTGAATAAATTAAGTTACCAACTCTTTATCTTATAGAAGTACATGTGGATTCAGTTTTAATTTATTCACAATCTCAGTACAACGATATGGCCTGGTTCCGCTCGTGCAAACACGTCTTGTTAGAATATTAATCACAATTTTACAAGAACAATTTATATCAAGCATAATTTCAGTGCTAATAAACTTGGAAAGACTATCACAACGAAGAAGGAAAAATTAACATGGCACTCGTAAAAACTTACCACTTTTTGTGCTGACATACTGGGCGAAGAAATCAGCTGCACTTGTATAAACTACAGATAGATGTCCTACCAGACGTCCAAAACAATCAAAGACGCGCCACGCGCACGGGAGTATAGATGTCACTGTTGGCAAACAAAACATGTACATTTCACAACTCGGCTTTTTAAATGATTTTTGAACGTTACTCTGACTTCCGTTGCGAAAATATCTTATTATACATATATAATTTCTCCTATGTGTCAGCGAATATTTTAATATAGAAAAAATTCAACTAAAGAATCCAGTATGACAATCAAGTATTTTGACGGTACTGAAATTTAGATACAAAACAAATGAGGGTGAAGGTCACTTCTGCTGCCAGACAGATAATTGGCTGGGGGAACTAACCTCCGAAGAGACGCGACAAGATATGCTCCAAATGTTAATATAAAGGTCACGTGTCCCTCCGGACGATAACACACGTGCATGGCTATTCCACGTGACTGCGTAATTCAAATTATCTTCATGCCTAATTGATTCTTAACGATTTTTAATGATGCTATAATCATTGCTGACGAAATGTGACATACAACATACACAATAAAACAGAAACGGAGAACCAGATTATAACTATTTTGGATAATTGGTTTCTGTTCGTATAATTTGTTTACAAGTAGAATAATATGGATTGAGGGTATATTAGAATAGCATGAGCAGAACATCTGGACCCAAGAGAGAGGAATTATTGGGATGTAAGAAACAGCAAAACGGTAAATTTTATAATTTGCTGTCTTCCACAGATATTACCAGGATTATAAAATCAACAAAGATGGGAGAAACAAGAAATGCGAATAAAATTTTATATTGAAAACTAATTAAACATGGGGGTAACACAGCCGACACCATATCATTCCGCCAAGTTTTGCATAATTTCGCCTTTTTCTGGTATTTGTAAGGCTTGAAGTTTTCCTTCCATGGAATAAAGCACTTTCTTTTCCTTTGACATGTTAATGGAAAAAAAACACTACTTAACGAGAAATTAATGTCGGATAACCGAAGGTTGGATAATCGGGACTCTAGTATATTCCATCTGAAACGCAATACAACCCCAATCACGTCCTGCGGTACAAAATAAAATCAGAAGCAGCCCCCCCCCTCCCGGTGATATTTGAGTCAAGGGCAGCCTGGTGTTCATTATCGAACATTACGTAACATCTAAATCGATTGTCGCTGTTACTGAAGCATTCAGCAGTGCGTATCCTGACAGGGAAGTACTGAATAAAAGAACAATACACGGGCTTGTAACAAAATTTATGGACACAGGAAGTGTTTATCTGTGACAAGTCGCTACAGAGAAAAAAAACAGCTGAAATTACGGCTGCGACAATGGCGGACGGATGCCAGGATTTAATATTGCCTCTGGTTTCGTCGTTTTGTGCGTGAAAGGGGTTCCACGTTTAGCAGCTGGCATTGCGTTCTAAATATGCAACCTGATATAAGAAAATGTATTTCAAAACCTCTGTTAACCGAACCTCGATTATCCGACTTCGGCATTAACCGACCGAATTTCAACCAGATCGATTTCTACCGTCGAGAGTCGGTAGAGCGAGACCCACGCGGTACGAGGGACCGCACCGCCAACGCGTGCCTTCAGTCCGCGTGGAGACGCCGTGCTGCGTAGAGTCCACAAATCAGGAGAAAATCCCTGATAGGAATTCGATATACGCGCATGCCCAAGATTTCGCGGTGAGTGACGACCGATCCTAAAAGCATTCGTTCCACAACCACTGAAGGAACAACAGACGTCAGGCTTTCATGTGTTCAAATGGGTACAGCTTTAAGATTACCTCACAGCGGCACAGAGATTTAATCTAGAATATTATCGCAACACCCGCAGAACAGATTAGAGGTGCGCTCACTACACGCTACTCGTAACTGCTTGATGCTTTCAGTCTGTGTGCAGTAGCGTAAAACTCTGACGTATCACACTTCCCACCAATAGCAGCCCTCTAGTCCACCAGGCAGTAAACATTCCCCTCGCACCGCACCAGAAACGACTTCCCCCAGCAGGGTTTTTCTCGTCATCTGTGGACAGTATATCGTCTGGTGCAAAACTGTGCATTAGTGTGTATATTTCATTATATTACTGTACTTGGCTTGAGTTCAAAAAGGGCGACGAGTTGAAAAGAAAAAGTGTTGTGTTTTCGAAAGCTGATAAACTGAAGATTATTGAGAAGACTGAATCTGGTGTCACGATGACTAAGCTACAGTTAAGGATATAAGGAAGAATTAGGAGTCTATAAGGAAATTTGCCATGGCATTCGATGCTGATACAGGGGCAGGGAAGAGGAAAGACAAAGAGGGAAAAGTCATCTCGGAAAACATTAAAAATGTCAGCGTCCGTGACTAGAAGCAGTTTGCATGTGATAAGCTCAACAGCGATCGAGGGACGTGGCTTGCGAGGTGTTGAAGTTCAAGCTGTTTTTGCTGAACGCTTGGCCAAGCACCTAAAAGCTGAAAACTTCGGTGCAAAGTAGTGGATGCCTCTGGAGATTTAGAACCAGATCTGACATGATAAATCAGCGAATTTATGACGAAGCATCATCTGCCGAGGGAAATCAGTATTGGATCTCTGTATATTTCAGTATTTATAACAATGATTTACGTGTTTTTGTTTCAACTTTGCTAATTACAGCTGTCTTAATTTTCAAGGCTGTGTGCTAGCACCGACCGACATATGTATACCTTCCCAAGTCTTGAGCACCTATCCGAGCGCGAGCCAGTGGGTGGCTAGTGGGTAGAGTCAACCGGTTGCTCTGCTTGGGCCTGCCTGTTAATTCGTCTATCTATATATCCGCCGGGGCCAAGGGATCGGGCGAACGACACACTGGCCAGTCCAGTGGGCGCCGGGAGGTGGGGGAGGCTCCTGTCTCTCACAAGGTCCCCTTAGCCACTGCCTGCAAGCGTAAGAAAACCCACGGGCGAACAAGCCAAGTGGGACTCTGAAGCCCACAGCCAAGGGATCCGGCACCCAGCCGGAACCCGCTTCCTCGCAGGAGACAGCCTCGCGGCGCACCTCTCCCAGTGACACCACTCCCAACGCCCAAGTGGAAAAACCAGCTCCCGCAGGGGAGCGTCGAAACCAAACCCCAGAGTACGCTTTTCGGGTGGAAAACGCGTAGATTCCTGGAATGGATTCGCGCGAATTCGACCGGCAAGCTTCTGGCCCAGACGAAGGGAGAGATCCTGACACTGGTGCCCACAACTGCCGACGGCTTGCGGCCCACGATCGGGGATTTGCGATCTCTAGACGTAGGCGAGGGTGTGAGCTTTCAAACCTTTACCATCCCCGAGGATTGATGCATTCGCCTACGGGCAAGCGCATGCCCGAATCAGTGTATAGGGCTCCGGTCAAAGCGACAGAACCAGGACCCGGAGGAACGTCCGCCGACACCGCACTTCATATTGTCGGTGGCGCGGGACCCTGATGTTGCCGAGGTGCGCGCTGTCACCGAACTCTGCGGACTGCGAGTGAAAGTGGAGTCGTACAGCGCTCCTAAGGGGCCTCTGCAGTGCAACGTCTCAAAGAGCACCGTGGTTCTATTTTTAAAGTCCGCGAGACGCATCCAAAAGTCCAGAGCAGTGCAGTTTCTCAGACAGCTGATACAATGGGTCAAACCAGCGCGGTATCTTGGGGTGACCCTCGACACCGGGCTTACCTGGTCGGCGCACGTCAACCAGGTGGGAAAGAAGGCGGCGCAACGGTTGGGTGTGCTAGGCCAGCTCCTCAATAGGAGACGTGGCCTGTCCATCAGGAACGGTGTGCTGCTCTACAAGCAGCTCATCTGTCCCAAGATGGATTACGCATGCCCGATCTGGAGGTCAGCTACCAGCAGCCACGTCAGGAAGCTGGAAGTGTTGCAATCCAATTGTCTTCGCATTGCTACTAACGCGCCTTGGTACGTTTGTAACAGGCAAATTCACACCGATTTGGGGATTGCATTCAGGGCCGACCACATCAGAGCACTGACTAAGAGCTTCGACTCAAACTTAGCTTATGTGGGGAACCCCTTAGTCCAGCAACATTGAAGGCACTACGGCTGAGCAGGGTTACCCCTAGGCAACCAAGGTCGACAAAAAAAAAGCTGAGGATGCCCCTGAAAAGACGGCCAAGTCGGAACGAGTGGTCTGACCATTCTGCTACCCTGACTGAGGTTTTCCGTGCTTTTCCTCAGTTGTAAGGGAGATGCCAGGGTATAATTGAAAAGGGGCACGGCCCGCCATCCCCAATCATGGAGGCCTTCAGCAGAAGCGATCCCGCCCCCTTCTGGGCTCAAATCCCAGAGGGTCATGCTTGAAATTACTGACTGCATATCATGGGATTTTTTTGACTAGGTGAACGACTACTGGCTTCTCAAGAAAGTAGTGCTGCATAGAGTTACTTAAGTTTTGGATTTCATTGGATAAGTCATGTTAATCGTTAGCCTCATTAACCGGGCTAACACATGCAAAGGAAAAATAGTTTTCTGCCTTGCTTCCTTTGTTAAGTGGTACTCCATATGCAGGAACACACCAAAACCTGTCAGATAAAATGGATTGTTAGGTTAGGTTCAGCCAGTCAGGCGTAGCGAGCGGACCAACACGGTCAACATAGACGGTTCACCCCTGACGGCAGCGGAAATGGAACACCCAGTCAGCACACCTTATTCGCCAAGGCTTCCTCGAGGTCAGTGTCCTGACGAGGCCAGACAGTCCTTGAGCCCCCGCAACGGCACTTGAGTCTGCCTCTGTTGGCTTGACGATCGACCGGGGGCCAGCGAGTGGAAACTGACAGACAAATCGTTCTAGGCTCTTATCCGTGCCCGGCAAAACTCAGCCTGGCAGTCTGTCCTAATTTTTAAGGCTCTTTTTTTTCGCGAAGGGCGATTCCAAACTAAAACGTAGGAACCTGAGTTTTTCATTGCATTTCAAAACACTAGTTTAAGTTTAAATGTTCATTCCCGAAAGTAAAATAAAATAGCGCGAACGTAACATTTATCGGCACACACTGCAATAAGAAATACCACTATTTTTTTAAAACAGTATATCAAGTATTTGCATTAAATGAATTGTAGGAATGCAAATTTATGATTTTTTTTTTATG